GGCCTCCCATTGAGAACGTTAATTGTAAGCAATGCTTTAAAATGCCCTTCTCTTGAACTTAGAACAAAGAACTGAGGCACTTATATACATGTGGGGCTTTTTAAATAATTATTTTTATTTTTCAGTTACAGTTGACATGTACAATATTATATTAGTTTCAGGCATACAAACCAGTGATTAGATATTTATATGACGTAACCACCTTGATAAAACTAGAACCCATCTCACACCGTACATAGGTATTTCAGTGTTATGGACTGTATTCCCTGTGCTGTGCTTTACATCCTCCTGACTATCCTGTAGCTACCAATTTGTGCTTCTTAATCCCTTTACCTTTTCCACCCAAACCTCCTCCCATCTGGCAACTGTCAAAATGTTAGCTCTGTCTACGAGTCTGTTTCTCTGCTTATTTTATTTTTTGGATTCCACATATGAGTGAAATCATATGCTGTTTGTCTTTCTCTGACCGACTTATTTCATTCAGCACAATACCCTCTAGGTCCATGCATGTCGTTGCATGTGGCAAGATTTCGTTCTTTTTTATGGCTGAGTCATATTCCATTGTATATACATACTACTTATTCTTTATCCATTTATCCACTGGTGGACACTTAGGTTGCTTCCATATCTTGGCTGTTGTAAATAATACTGCAATGAACATATGGGTGCATATGTCTTTTGAATTTAGTGTTTTGGGTTTCTTCAGATAAATACCCAGAAGTGGAATTGCTGGACATTTCTTTGTCTCTTGTGATAGCCTTTGTTTTAAAGTTTCTTTTGTCTAAGTGTTGCATCCCAGCTTTTTTGTTTGTTTCCAGTTTCATGAAGTAGCTTTTTCCATCCCTTTATTTTTAGTCTATGTGTGTATTTGATTTGAAGTAAGTCACTTGTGGACAGCGTATGTAAGGATCTTGTTTTCTTCTCCATTTGGCCACCATATGTCTTTTGATTGGAGCATTTAATCCATTTGTATTTAAAGCAATTGTTGATAGATATGTATTTACTGTCATTTTATTATACTTTTTTATCTTTTTTTCCTTATTCCTCTTAAATAAGACTCTTTAACATTTCTTGTAATACTGGTTTGGTGTCAATGAACTCCTATAGCTTTTTCTTGTCAGAGAAACTCTTATCTGTCCTTATAGTCAAAATGATAGCTTTGCTGGGTAGAATAATCTTGGTTGTACGTCCTTGCTTTTCTTCACTTTGAATATTTCTTGCCAATCCCCTCTGGCCTACAAAGTTTCTGTTGAGAAATCAGCTGACAGTCTTATGGAAGTTCCTTTGTAGGTAACTAACTGCTTTTCTCTTACTGATTTTAAGATTCTCTCTTTGTCTTTAACTATTGGTATTTTAATGATAATGTGTCTTGATATAGACCTCTTTGGGTTCATCTTGTTTGGGACTCTTTGTTCTTCTTGGACTTGCATGCCTATTTCTTTCACCAGCTTAGGGAAGTATTCTGTTATTATTTCTTCAAATAGGTTCTGAATCCCTTGCTCTCACTTTTCTTCTAGTACATGTGGTTTTAATGGTTATCCTCAATCCCTGATATTTAGTAACTACTCCATAAAGCATTGAAAATATGAAACTCAGGGAAATAAAATAGAGTAAGAACAAGGAATTGAGTAACCATTATCTGAAGATTTGCAATCAAAGGGGTTCATTAATTGATTACATTAAATTAAAAATTCTGAATGCATGTCTTAGTATACTCACCCATCCATTCATTCATTCTGTTTAACAAACATTTCTTGAATGTCCACAATAGACTTTTGACACATAAGCATACTTGGTACCAGCACCCTGACTGTCACATTCTCTGCCATGGCATTGGCTTGGCTAAACTCCCCTCCCATGGTTGTCTTCCAACAACAGTGCCTGCCAATTGTGGGAGCAGGCAGTGGGCCCCAACACAGCAGCAGTCTCCTGTGCACTTGGACTGTCCTCTCCTCTTCCCTGTGTTCAAAAGTTCTTCTGCACTTTTGATTCCCTTTTACCTTAGTTCCACTTACCTCCCTACCTTTCCACAAAGAGGCCAAGTAAGTAGTTCTAAAAGGCACAGCCTAGCCAAAGTTTCTTTTACATCTGATGATGGCTCTGCCATTTAAAAAGGGGAACCAAAGGGAACTCTTACCCATCACATTTCATTTCAAAGCCAGCTTTGCTGAGTACACAGCTACATTGCATGTACCTTTTTTAAAAATTATTTTAATTGCACTAGTAACTTTTTACATGGTTGTTCTTCATAATGTCCTAAAACTTTTATCTTTAAAATGAAGAAAACAAGGGCACAAAGTTTTGTGGCATTAAAGACACCCACCTAATAAGTCTTTATTTTAATGTAGATTAAGAACTCTGAGTGAAGCAATTCCATGCCATTCTGTAACCTTTGCTCTCCTTCTTGGCCAACCATGTAGTTCAGTGGTTGACGGACTGTGTACAGCCACATTGCTTCATAGGTCCCTTAAAGACCTGCTAAGTAGTTGTGTGGTTTTGATTTCAGATTTGTTGTTCACTTTTCTCTATATACACAAATGCATAGCAAGATAAATAGCTAAAATCAACTACAGATATAGTTACATTTAGACTTCTACACCTTAGTATGTATACAGTGTTATACAAAACAAAATGTTCGTATTATACACTTTAAATTTTCATGTGAAGAAAAAAATACCATATCATTTTCATAACTTAAAAGGTGTCAAACATATTACAACATAAAAGTTTCTATTTTTGAGGTCCCCAGTGCCAAGATCCATATTTATTTTCAAAACTAGATGTTAAAGAAATGAATTACTGCTGCCCTGTTTTCACTCAATGGTCTTATTTGTTCACAAGAACCACACCCTTGCCAGGACTGATTAACACTGTTTTTTTTTATGGGCAGGCCATACACTATCTTGACTTTTTTCAAGATAAGCTCCAGTTCCTGCAACTGAGTCAGTTACATGGAAAACTGCAAATCCACAATGACTGATAAGAAGGCTGGAAAATGTGGTCTAGATGTTCCATGTGTTTTTTTCATTCTACTAATAGAGATCTTTCATAAAACTGTTTAAAACACAAGTAGATAAACATCATTTATATTTGATCTTATCTAACAGTATAAAGCTTTGGCTACTGAATCTTGTTGTTACAAGTGAAAACATACATTGAAAACTTGAAAGGCACATATGTAGAAGACGACATTTAAAAATAGTTGATGGGAGCTATATTATAGTGAAATATTAGAAATGTAGTATATGTCCATCACTTAGGAAATGGATTTTAAAAGTCTAGGATGAATATTCATTGGACTATTGCCATATCTCATCTAAGTCAAGTGTCAACCAGCTACAGCCCACTATTTGTTTTGTAAATAAGGTTTTACTGGAACATAGCATACTCATTTGAGTATATTTGTTCCATAGCTACTTTCTGCTACAATTTCAGAGTTGATTTGTTACAATATAGATTGTATGACTCTCAAAAATCCAAATAATATATTTACTACCTAGCCCTTTAAAGAAAAAGTTCACAGACCCCTGATCTAAGTTAAAGTACCACCTACTATGAAATGTACCATTAGTTTATGTACCACTAACAAAGAAAAAGTAGTATGCCAGTTAAACAATGACAAGCCATCAATTACAAGAATCCTAATTTTAGCGCCAATAAAATATGAAAGAAATCATCTTAGAATTGATTAATTGTGATAATAACATTTCAAGTGAATGAACTACAGTATTTGTATCAACATGGATAGATCGCAAATACTTAATGTTGAGTGATAAACAATTTGCAGAATGATGTGAACAGTGAATTATTTTGTCTCTTACGAAACACAAAATTATATTATGAGTTTCTGTAAATGCAGATGTGGATAGGTAAGCATAATTTAAAGAAGTGGAAGGATTTAAAGAAAACTGATGATAGAAGTTTCCCCTGGGAGGAGAAGGGATCAGGGTGACGATGGAAAATAAAGAGAGATTATCTTTATCTGTAATGTTCAGGTCTTTTTAAAAAGGTGATTTATTAATACAAAATACTTTTTAAAAGCATCAAAACGTGGCAAGGCTGGAATAAAATATGTCAAAATATTAATAATGATGAACTTTTTATAGCAGAAGTATGGAATAGTATAGTATTGATAGAAGTATTTAATTAGATTTCACTGTAATTTTTTTAAAACTTTGAATAACTAAAAAATGAGTCATGTTCTTCATTTCTATCTCAATCAAAAGAGATTAAGATTTGAAGAAGTGCATGTTAATCAATTACCTGGCATTACAAACTAATCCTGTTTTTCTACTGTGGCATTAAGATTAAACAACGTGCAAGTCAGGGCCAAATTTCATAGTTAAACTTCTTTTTCTTCATCGTGGTACAGCTAATCTTTAAATACAATGAACTTTATTCCTTGCCATGAAAAACCACCAACTGTAAAAGTTAAATGTCAGGTGCATTTTAATGAACAGAAATAGCTTGTCATGAGTCATGTAATTGGTGTACTGATGTCACTTCTTTCAGCCCAACCTCACTTGTTTTGAAATGTACATTGTGATTTAGCTCAATTTTCTGTGTTGTCACATGCAATTCAGACCCTCATGTTATTTATTAAATGTTTTCATTTTTGTCACTTATCTCTAGCAGGGCTTCCCAGAATACTCTCTATAAGTATATCCAGAAGTTCAAAATGTTGAAGTATAATTTTACACCACCAGCTTGTTTCTTACTTGTTACCGAGGATCTACTCACCTACCACAGCTCTCATTTACTTTCTGTTTTTGTCTTGTTTTTATTTTAAGCATGTCATTCTCCCCCTAGAAGTGTTTCACCAGAAGTAGATCAAGCTGCCTGCCTTCGAGATTAAGAAATGAGAAGTGTCTGGGAAATGTAGGCACGGGGCCTTGCGTCCCATATGAAGCTACAGACCACGAGACTGAGGTCTCGTGCCACTAGAACCAAAACAGAGTGCTCCATTTCTCACTGTTTAACTTCACTTTTTCTTTTTCTAGTTCAATTTCACCATTTAGTATTGAGAGCACAAGACGCCAGAGACGATCTGAATCCCCAGACTCCAGAAAACGGCGTATTCACAGATGCGATTTTGAGGGATGCAACAAAGTGTACACAAAAAGTTCTCACCTGAAGGCTCATCGAAGGACACATACAGGTACAACTCCGCAGGGCCTCTCACGTGAGGGTCAGTGAGAATCCAAAAGGGCCAGCTGCTCAACTCCAGAGCCATGAGCATGCTGGGATCGTGTCATCATAGGTACCTCCTCAGTTTAATTTCTTTCTGAGCAGGATGCTTTCCTTCTCTCAGTTGAAAAAGGCTTAAGTCTTAGTGCACTTTAGCAACCAATGAAGTAATTCTTCCATGTCTTAAGGAGTTTTATAATGGTACGAACACAGTGATCTAGTCTTTTTCATAATCAGCATTGACACTTAATCATTGCCTAGTTTATCAGATTAAGTTAGTCCAGGTAGTGCATCAAACAACAAGCTGGACAAACTTATTCTCTTCTTTTAAAGTTAGCATTTTAACCACCACTTAGATCATGCATTTCTCCCCTCACCCCCCAAGTAACCAAATAAATAAACTAATAATAATAATAATAATGAAATTGGCATATACATAGCACTGTGGTGAGTTCAAAAAATATTTCTACATGATTCCATTTGATTCCCACTGGTATTGTTTTTATATAGAGAGGATTTTTAGTATTCATAGTTTACAGAGAAGGAAATTGAGACTACAGGTGATTCACTGACTTTGTCGTTATCCATCCATCCACCCATCCACCCACCCATCCATCCATCCATCCATCCATCCACCTATCCATCCATCCATCCATCCATCCATCTACCCATCCATCCATCTACCCATCCATCCATCCATCCATCCATCCATCCATCCATCCATCCATCCATCTACCCATCCATCCATCTACCCATCTACCCATCCATCCACCCATCCATCCATCCATCCATCCATCTATCCATCCATCCATCCATCCATCCATCCATCCATCCATCCATCCACCCATCCATCCATCTATCCATCCATCTATCCATCCATCCATCCATCCATCCATCCATCCATCCATCCATCCATCTACCCATCCATCCATCCATCCATCCATCTACCCATCCATCCACCCATCCATCCACCTAGCAACCCATCCATCCACTTGTCCACATATTCACTCCTCACCCACCTAGAAAATAAACTGATGACTCTTCACTGAACCCCGTACCCACCCCACTCATCCTTTGCCTTGTGTATCCGTCAGCCAACATCCCCTGCTTCCTTGGCTTCTGGATCCTGTTTGGTGCCACCAAGGGGATGCTCTGGGAAGAGACAGAAGGTGGGAGGAGGACCCCACAATTACTACCTTTTCTAGGGAAAATGATTGGTGACTGAAACGTGAAGTTCAAAGAAACAGGTATAATGGAGAAATTTATTCTCACACATTCCTGCGAGCAAGGAGCCACAGATTAAACAAGCCCAGGCCAGGGACTCTCGTCAACAGGAGTCAGACTTAGGAGCACCTGCATCTAACTGAAAACCTCAAGTTAACCTATTTCCATCGGGTTGTGTAAACAGTACTCCCATCTCCAATGTGTTAAAAATAACCACATTATATTAACCACTTCCCAGCTGAGACAGCAAAATTTAAATTGGCATTCTTTGCCATTATTGAATCATGTTCTTCTGTCAGGCTCCTTCCAAAGCTACTTTGCAAGACTGCTTTATGACTGCGCACATGGAGGCAGGGTGTCGTTTCGCATGTGTTGGAGATGAAGTTATGGTATAGGGGGACACTTGCCAGAATCAGAGAAGCATTGTAGAATCTGGAGTTGACTTTTTTGCTTATTATATGCATTATAATTTTTAATACTGCTAAGATAATCAACACATTTTACAAACTGCCTCTTACGTCTTTCTTCCCTGCCCCCAATCCTTTTTCCACTTAATTCCAGTTTCTCCCCCTCTCCGTTGATAATGTGGCTCTGAAAAACCCCCAAGGGGAAGTTCATTATCAACGGAGAGGGGGAGAAACTGGAATTCTTCCGTTTCTTAGGCCCTGTGTTTGAATAAATTTCTTTATCATCGAGGCCAAGAATGAGGGTAGGCATGAAAGTTGACTAAGCATGTTTCATTCTGTCACCAGATAGTGAACACAAATCATAGTAGCAAGTATGATCAAGTCATGTTTCTTTTATGGGATAATTTCTGTTTAAAAAAATAAAAGAATGACCTTTCTCAGTGAATCGTCATAAATTTTGAGTTATTCCTATATTCCCTGAACTTTCTAAAAATACATAATAGCTTCATTTTCACACAGACACCTCTATTCCATTTATTCAAGTGATGAACAGTGACAGAGAGGAAAAGGTTTAAGTGGGCACTATGAAAGGATCTAACTCCATGGCAGTATAGGACCTCCTCTTACATATTTTACCATACACTGCGGAAGTAGAGCAGACATGATGTGCACATTCTAATTCAAGGCAACATAAGCCTTGAATGCTAAAGTGGAGTTAATTAGCTTGGCTTATTAATAAGATGAAATCATAGGCTCCTAGGGTCCAAATGGTTCAGAATCTAGTTTGTTTCCTAACTAGAGGAATCCCTTGGGTGCCATCTCTCACAGAGACCAAATCACTACTACGCAGTTTTCTGCACACTTGCACATCTTTTATTTGATCTTCACACCTGGTGGTTGCAGCTGGCATTATCTCCTGTGTGCACAAGTGTGGTTCCTGATCGAGTATTGTTCACACAGCAGTAATTTTCCCACAGCCCCTTAAACGCTTTGAGTGTCAGAGAGCTTCTTTTTCTGAAAAATAAGTTCAGTGAAATTTTTGAGGGCAGAGTCTTTGTATAGTTAGATAACTAGATATTTGGGTTTAAAATTCAGGGAAGAGATACAACATAGCTAGATGGATAACTTGTGTTTTTTAATTGAGATATAACTGACAGATAAGCTGGCATAAGTTTAAGATGTCCAGTGTATTGATTTGATACATATATATTACGATATGATTGCTGCCGTAGCGCAGCTAACACCTCCATCTTGTCACGGAATGATCATTTCCTTTCTGTAGTGAGAGCAGTTAAGATGTAGTCTCTTAGCAACTTTGCAGTTTATAATACCTTTTGTTGATTATAATCACCATGCTGTGCATGAGATCTCCAGAGTTTGTATCCTTAACATCCCCCTTCTTGCCATGTTGAATTGTTTCCTGCGGTGGAGTCTGGCTCGCTGTCCCCTCTGGGTGACTGGGTTAGCTCATCACACTGTCATTTTCAATTCCTGGCCCCGGTGCCCTTCACGAACCACTAGCACCTTCATTTCCCCAGATGCCCTCAGTTCTCAGCCACGTATTTCTAGTTATACTCCAAGTTATCACTGTGTCTTTTTAAGTTTTCCACGCCACAAATTGAGGGAACAGGTCTTGTTAATGGACATTTCTTGATAGAGGCAAAGATAATGTTAAGTTTTTTTTAGCAGATGACTCAGGTCATCCAAGTTAAAAAACAAAAACTGCAGAGAACTAGGTCCTGACTGTCCCTTGTACCTGTAACTGGTTTCTTTTCAATCTAAGCACACAGCGTTGTATTTTTAGCTGGACCTGTTCCTCATATGATGGCTCCTTCAGGAGCACAGGCATCCCTTGGAGAGGTTGCAGGTTTGGTCCCAGACCACCGCAGTAAGGCGGGTCATAATCTTTTTGCTGGTAGAGTCTTGCCTTCAATTTGTTTTAAAAAAAAAAGCAACATCTGTGAGGTGCAATAAAGTGAAGAGCAATAAAACGAGGCGTGCCTGCAGAAGGTTTGCTCGCCACACAAGTGTTTAGCCACAAACTAGATGATCTCTTGTAGGAGATACAGGACAGAATCATTATTATGAAGGCTGCACCTATCCTTTCAAGTCTGGAAAATATTTCGTATCCATTTTATTGATTTGGGCCCATTATTCTATTACACTGAAACAACTGTGAACCCTCTCTCCATCCACCTTGTATCTCTCTCCTTCAGCTTCTCTGTTTTTATCAGATTTTGCAGAGGACAGATTCAAGGAAAAGCCCTGAGGGTGATCCTAGAGCCGTCCATCCAAGCGGGTCTTAATTCATTAACGAGTAATTAAAAATCCACCTAATCCTCCTATTTCTAGTCCATATTTCTCAATCTCACAGCTATATCAAAAAGTCTATGCGAAATTCCTGCTCCAAACCATATGCCAAACCCGTTCATCTACTTAGCAGGGAGATACTTACTCTGTGCAGGCATAGTTTTCTCAGAAAGAATGATATTTGCTTTATTTGCTGCCACTGGATCAAAGTGAGCCCATACTGATTCCTCATTTATAATAACTTCTAAGATTTCATAACTGTGTGATCAAAATAAAATCAACACTAGTTCTATTGGGATTCAGGTTGTCTTGCTTTGTTTTTAATAAATATCTTCTTAGTCTTACCTTTGCTTCAGGCATATTGAGCAAGTTATTTGTGTGTGACCAATAAGTAAGGTGAAGTTTGGGATTATAACAGGTGACTTATGAGAACTACACATGCTATGGGAGATAAGGAAGTAGCGATGAGAAACTTTCTTTGAGGAAGTCACATTAACTTCGTCTTTAACACTTGATCTTTTTTGCTTTATTAGCACATGATTGAGTCCTCTATTTAGGACTTATACAGCAAATTAAACACTTATGGGATTGTGAAAGAGGAACGTTTTATAGATATTAGCAAGGAATTTAGAGTAAAAGATGAAATGCTGAAAACTGCTTTTTTTTTTTAGGAATCTTATAACATGTATCATTTAATCCATGCTTGATAGATGTACAGGGCCCAATAAAATACCAGAAGGGACATCTTATCATCTGAATTTTAAGAAGTTATACGCAAAGAAAGTATACACTGATCATCAGAACTCTCCCTTTCCAAAGCGTGCACCCTGGTGAGGCTGCATCCGTGTTTCATCTTGCTCAGGAGCAGCTCATGGCCCTGACCCTGGGAAAATCCATTCTGTGGGAGCCGCCAAGCTTGTGTCATTGGTTACATCTCACGGATTAGCCATCAGAATAAGAGTCACAGCCCTTTCTCTTAGAGAAGCAGAGCCAACAGTAGGCTCTCAGCCTATTTTTTTCAACAATAATG